CAATGATCTTCGAGAGGTGCACCTCCTCCTCTGGCGTGCGCAGCTCCACCTCACCGTCGGGGTGCCACACGGCGGGGTCGTCCATCGGCTGCTGCAGGCGCTCCACGTCGCACAGCTTGCCTGCGATGATGTCTACGCCCAGCCGCACAAGCCGCAGATCCCACTGGTAGCGCAGCAGCACGTCGAGCATCTCATGCGACGGAATGAGGTCGGAGAGGCGGCGGATGTCGCTCTCCCGCGCATGGAAGTGGTGAGCTCCAAGCGCCACGAGCAGCGCCTCGGACGAGGCGGAAGTGCGCAGTTGCGGGCAGTGCTCGAGCAGCACGCGGGCAGCATCCACGTAGCCGTTGGCGATGGCATAGTAGAGCGCCGTGCACTGCGCATCGTCGCAAATGTGTACATCCGCGCCGACCTCCAGCAGCATCCGCACAACGTTCCCTGGATCACTATTCGGGTTGTTTACAGCGCACAGTAATGGTGTCCAACAAAAACGCGATGATATGACGGGATCGACCAGTGCGGTGTTCACCACCACTGCAGAGCCGCGCGCCAGAAGTGTCTTGACGTACCGCTCATTGTTGCGGAAGCAGGCGCGGTGCAGGCTTGAGGCAGTATGTGAAACGGTGGCGCTAAAATCCACCTGCGTAGAGCTCCCACGCGGCTGCTCCGAAAGCCCGTAGCATGTGCCGCACGGTCGGCGGAACAACTCTGGGAAGGCGCAGCAGGCGTCGTGGACGGTGTCGTACTCCTCTGCAGTGAGTCCCTCCGGCACCCATGCACCAGTGTGCTGCGTGAAGCGTACCATCCGCGTCGACAGACTGCCCTCGTCGTGGCGCAGGAGCATGAGAGCAACAACTTCGCCAGGCGTCTCGGTGAGCGTCGCAACGCAGTCTCCTGCCTCCGCATCAGGCCGCTGCGCAAACGCCTTCAGGTGGTACTCCAGCGAGTGCCCAAGATCGTAAAGACCCAGACGCATGCCCTCCTTCATGTTGCGATCGAGCAGCAGAAAGGGACCCCAAACGCTAAGCAGACGCCTCAGTGTATAGAGAGAGACGACACCGCACTGTCGGTAGTTGAGCACGTCCATAATCGGCGCCCGCGACCATTCGGGGAAGAACTGCAGCGCGGGGGCAAAGGCTTCCGCAAAACAGGCCGGCACATTATTACCCACGTATGCCCCCCATAACTTACGCGCCGAGACGTCACCAACATATGTGCCGGAGTCGAAGAAGATAGATTGCCGGCAGACCTTCACGTACCAGCGTAGATGTGCCAAGTGCACACCCACATCGCCGTCAATATCGGCAAATACGCACTCAAACTCAATGGGAAGACTCACGCTCTCCCGCAGCCACGGCAATGCCTCGTCATCCACTAAGTTTCCCACACAGTGGTTGCCGCTGGGGCTCACTTTCAAGGCGGAGTCGGGTGCGGTGCCAGCTGTCAGCATATCCGCATAGCGCTGCAGCTCCGAGAGTGCACGCAGGAGCAGCGCACACATCGCATCGGAGAGGCGATAGAATACAGGTGTCTGCTTCACTGAGAACTTAAAGAACATAATTTCGAGGAAGAAGTTGTGTGCCGCCTTTACATGCGGAAATACGAGCGCCAGTGGGACGTCGGCTTCGGTGCAAGTGGCGTCGAGACGCATCGTGAGGGCAAGCGCGCCTCCGACTTGAGACTCCGCCATCGTTTCAGCGTCGACACCGCGCAGGTGATGCTTCACCTCCATCAGGACCGTCTGAAATAGGCGGAACTCCTTCGCAGAGAGCGGCGAGCCGGTGATGTCCGTCAGCAGTCGCCCGAGCTCCCGCACCGGTGGGTTGAGGCTGTCAAGTGTTGACAGCTCCGGAAATTGCGAGTAGTCGACGTCGCTCACCACCCGCGCGAGGGCGCGAAGCTCGGGCGGAATCATCATCCACTCCAGTACTGCGAAGGGCATCCTTCACACAGACACACACCCTTGCTCACAAGCAGGCACGCAGAGTGTCGATAAAGAGAAGGGAAAGAGGCAAGTGAAAGAAGAGAAATAATAACAATAATAATAATTTCTGTTCTACACCAGGAGAGTATTCAAGCTGGCTCTGAGGCACACATAAAGGTGCTGTAGCCTTGAACGATCAGTGTTGTACATGTGTCAGCCAGCTATCTCTTGCCAGCACGGAGGGTCGGCAGCAACACTTCGCCCTTTGTCGGTATCGTTACATCACGTCTCAGTAGATCCTCCACTGGGACGCGCCGCTGCACCAAATGAACCGAAGGCAGCGGCTGCAGTTTCATCCACGTGTTGGGATCGTACGGCCGCCTGCCGCCACGACCTCCGTTGTCCTTCGCACCAGGGAACACCAACCGCTTCGACGCCGGCAGGTAAACGGCGGTATAGCCCAGTTCACGCCACTGGCGGGCAAGTTCCCCTTCGTCAAATTCTTCACTGCCATCATTGCCGTCGTCGGTGCGTGCTTCCCCATCCTCGGGATGTTGTTCCTCTTGCGCTGTTCCGGATTCCTTGCCCTGTCCTTCACCTGACTTCTCCGCAGTTGTGGCATCAACGCCGGTAAGGAAGAAATTCTTCTTCGGCGTCTCTGCATAGGCGATGGTGGCTACAGCACCGCCGACAGGGCCCGAGGTGCCCTGCAAAGTCCCCTCCATGAGGGCCATTGCTGTCTCTTGTAACTCTCCAGGGAGTAATCCGACAGGAATGTGCTGCAGCGCACAGTTTCCGATGAGACGGTCAGCTGGTGGATCAGCAGCAATCCGTCGCATCGCCCGCATGCGGCGCTCTACCGCCTTGGCAAACATCTCCTCAACAAGGTTGAACCGCCGCAGCGACGCCTGTTGCCGACTCGCTGTCTGCTGCATCCGCCCTTCACGAGCGCGACGTTCAGCCTCCGCCTGCTCCTCGACATTCGGTGTGCGAGACCGCCAGGCTCGCACTATCTGCATGAAGTTTGCCCCCATTCCCTCGCCGTCCTGAGAGAAGCTGATATCCTCCTCCACCTCCTCAGCCGTGTCATCCCCGTCTGCGCCTTCGGAGTCCAACTCGTCCTGCTTCAGCAAACCGGGGCCGTCAGTGTGGCGCCTGTCAGCACCCCTGCTGCGGTCTGGGCTTTGCCCCAATGAGGGAGAAGAACGTCTGAGGGTGCCAGCTAACACGTCAGCTCGCGAGCCCCCTGGAGCGGTGATACTTTTCTTAGGACTACCGCCACAAGTGAAGCGTTTCTGCTTCATTGCGCTACGCCTCGGCAGTTTGGCAGAGATAAACTTTTTGTACTTCTCGCTCTGCTGGGCAGTAGCTGTGGCTTCTAGATCTTTTGTTTTTGCGAGTTTCTTCACCAAATGCTTGCTTTGAAGTACGTTTTCCTCATCGCGCAGCTGTTGAATGCGGCGCTGCAAGTCCACTTTTTTGCGCAGCAGTTCACCTAGTCTAGCTCCTTTCTCCGCCACCCTTCCAAGTTCCTCCATCTCGCGCTCAGCGCGGTCAATATCAGCAGAGATTGCCAGCTCCGGATCATTTGGTGGTGTCCCCATCACCGCCACTAACGCAACAGGCTACATTCATTCGCGTGATGCAAGGCAGCAACAACAAACAGAGACGATTTTTTTTTTTGAAATTGTATGAGAGAGGAAGAAAGGAAAATATCTTTGTAGGTGCAGACAAAATGGGTCACAATGGTTCTTTTCACTACTGACAAGGGAGACCAAAAAGGGAGAGAATTATATGTGTAAACGAGCCGAAGGCACAAAGCGCCGAGCACAACTCTCAAGCCCTTCAGTTCTGCTTGGACCGTTTCGCGATGATAAACTTCATCTGTTCCAGAACGTAATGCATGCACTCCTCCCCTTTCAGGCATTCATGTCCTTCCACCAGTGGGCCTAGGCAGATGCGGCGCACTAGAAGGGGATTGTCCTCCATCAGCTGAACGGTGCCGAACGTCTCGGGGGCGTTGGCGGCACTGAAGCGCACGAGCCACTTCTCCTCTGAGGTGCTTTCTGTAACCTCCTGCGGCCGCGGCGTGTTGTTCAGCACAGCGGCGTCCAACTGACAGTCCTCCTTGCCGCTAACGAAGCGGTGGTGCATGCGGCGCGAGGCCTCACGCGAAAAAGGTATCCAGAAGCTTCCCTTCGCTGCCACCGCAGTGGGGGCTACAGCGTCAGTGGACTCATACCACCACTGCGGTGGGCCCACGCAGCAGAGGTTCCCTCCGGCTCGCCGCAACTCTTTCAGCACTGTGTCGCACTGCAGCACACGGTACGCGAAGCCCTGGTCGCGCAGCCAGCTCTGCCGCCCATAGCTCTGCTGCACCTCGTGTGTGTCCTGTGATACGAGGGTATAAAAGAAGGAGCACGTGTTGTCCAGCGAGGGTGGCTTAGGACGCAGGATGCGACCAAGTCGCTGCGCCTCCTGACGACGCGACGCACCCAGGCCAGATATTTGAATGATGACAGAAGCACAAGGGAGATCGAGCGCAACATCACCAACGCGGGAGAGGATGATCGCGTTAATATCGCTAGAGTGCTGGAAGTACTGCAGAAGATTGGCGCGCTCCGACTCGCTCGTCTTTCCGTCCATTAACGGAACATTGAGGTGGCGCGCGTAGTAGTGAACGCCCTCTAGATCATCACAGAAGATGATGACCTTATCGGGGGGAGATCGGTTACGATGGAACTCCAGTAAGGCCTGAGCACACCACAGCTTATATGGATTAAAGCACACCAACGCACGTGACAACGGTGATGCCCCTCGGCGCGCAAACGGATCATCCTGTGACTGGGAGTTGAGGTACTCCGCGAAGAATGGCAGCGGCAGTGGGCACTGCACCTCGGCACATACCACACGAGCGAGAAACCCAGCACGCGTAAGTTCTAGCCAATTGGCCTCGTACAGTTTTGGTCCCACGAGATGCCGCAGGTCGCCAATTTTGTCGTCCTCCCGCAGCAGGGTTGCGCTCAGGCCAATGACACACTTGTACTTGACTCTGTTAAGCACCTCCTGGAAGTGGTGTGCGAGAGCCGTGTGCACCTCGTCTAGAAGCAGCAGGCCCCACGGATGCTCCTCTATGCTGGCGAGAATACGTGCGGTGAGCCTGGCGTCCTCACTCTGTTCCTGGTCAGGAACAACCGCACGCTTCGCCACAAGCATGCTGTAGGTAGTAATGAACACATCACCGGGCATCTGCTTCTTGTCAGAGATGCACACCGTCACCTGCTCCTCTGAGAGGTTTGTCCAGCGGAGGAACTCTCGCTGCCACTGAAGCACCGACATCACGTTGATGCACATAACGATGGTCCGCTTCTTAACTGTGGTTGCTGCACCAATCCCAGTAAGCGTCTTCCCCGCCCCACAGGGAAGTACAATCACCCCTTGGTGGGCCTTATTGCCACAGCGAAAGCGCTCCAACGACGCTACCTGGTAGGGTCGCAGGCGTACATGCTCGGCAAGCGTGAGGTCGCACACATTGAGCGTGGGATCCTGGGTGTAATCGTAAAAAAGGTCCGCACGTACGCCAAGTTCCTTGAAGAGCCGCTCCCGCACATTACGCATCCGCCCATCCTGTACCTGGCTCTTGTAAACCAGGCGGGAGTACTTGCGCCCTGTGCCACCAACCTGGTCCGCTGCAGCACCCGCTGCTGTGGGTGCTTCGAAGAGCCTGCGCAGCGTCATTGCCCTACCGCTCTCCACCAAACTCCTCTCCTCTACACCACGGTCTACGTCAGAGAGCACCCAGCGCATCACGCCGTGCAACGAGAAGGGGACCAAGTAATCCTGTAGACGGCTCACGAGGAACTCCATGTGCTGGCGGTCCTGGCTCACAAGAAAGTAGGCCAATTTCTCTTCCTCATCCTGTCGCCGTTGTTGTTGTTGGTGCCGCTGATGCAGTTGTTGCAAAGGCTGCTGTCGTTGGAAGGACCTCAGACGCGGTTGGAGAACGATGCGCACTCTCGACGACTTCTCTTCTTCCAGAAGCATCTGATCTAGATCAGGCGGCAGCGGGAGAAGCGCCTCGGGATGCAGCAGCGCACGTGACACAAACGGCTCTGGTTGTGCTGGCGCACTCCTCACGAGTGAAAAGAAACGGCGACGCGGCGCAGCCACTTCCCCTGTCACTCCCTCCTTTGGAGTAGGCTGCGGATCGTCAGTCTCCTTTTTCAGCCTCTTCACAGCGCTCTCCAGTTCTTGCTTCGGCTGCTGCTGCTGTGCCGCCTCTCCTTCGGGGTCCGTGCCGTCCCGTACCTGCCGCTCCAGCTCCGCAAACTTAGCAATGTCGACCGGTAGTCGCTGCTGCTCATCGAGGCGGAAGTAGCGAATAAAGTTGCGGATCATCGTCATCGAGTATGTCCCCTCCGCGCTCGCGGCGGATAGTGACGAGGGGGAGATGGTGTACTCACTCATGTGCAGAGTGCGGCAGACAGGCTCACAGCACGACGTGAGGAAGTCCATCAGGTGTGGGTACGCCGGGTGGGCGCTGTCGACGTAGATACTCCCATTCGATCCCACAATCATCCACTCACACACACGCACAAACAAACAAACACGCCCTGCAGCCCGCGAATAATACTAAACTGGCTGCCTTGTGCAAAAGGAGGGAGTGGCGGACACACACACACAC